TGGAGGTTCACAAAGTGCTGCACCTGCCACGAAATCTGCACATGGAGGTTCGCAAAGTCCTGCGCCTGCCACGAAATCTGCACATGGAGGTTCACAAAGTGCTGCACCTGCCACGCAATCTGCACCTGGAGCTGGAGTTGCCTGGAGCTTGAGCTGTTGAAACCAGAGCTGGTGTATGAGCGGTGTATGATGAGTGGTGTATGATGAGTAGTGTATGATGATGAATGGTGTATGATGAGTGGTGTGTGATCAGTGGTGTGTGATGAGTGGTGTATGATGAGTGGTGTGTGATGAGTGGTGTATGATGAGTAGTGTATGATGAGTGGTGTGTGATGAGTAGTGTATGATGAGTGGTGTGTGATGAGTGGTGTATGATGAGTGGTGTGTGATGAGTGGTGTATGATGAGTGGTGGTTGAACAGCTGTTGAATGTCCGTAACACGGAAGTTTTGCACACTAAACTTCCTTTGATTATTGAAGGATGTTGAAAGAACCTTTACAAACCAGTCTCTGCCAACCCCCAGAGCTCGCAGATTCCTTGCCATGCCTGCCAAAGCTCTCCATCGAAGTTGGGATCCAATCTCAGCGGAACCAACATTCAATTCACCAGCCAAATATGCAGGACAACATGTAACATAAAGGGCAGTTGTAGACCTTGAAGGGGGTAAGAATCTAAGAGCTGGAGAATGATCCACCAGGCGCTTTGCCCAGTCTCTTGACTCTTCATGAGTCTTCATGCCCATATATAGATGCCCAATTTCCACCAAGTGACTGGAGCTGAAGTGCACCGAGCCAGTCCAAGAAGTCTTCGCAGGCTGAACCAAAAGCATCGGAGAGCCCCTTGTGGCAATCTAATGGAAGACAAACACCAACAAAAGACAATGCTTAAGAGTTTCGATATTGCCTAATATCAATGCAGAGTCCAAAGTGAAGTGCAACGCTGGTCGGTGCACCGACCTCATGTTTCCCTCCGCCACGTCCATTGGCATGAGGCCAACTTGAGGGCTCACAAATCAGCTGTTCGATAGGAGGCCGCAAGCAAGAAGCACTAGGCCTCATTTGCAAAAAAGATCCCCTAGATCCGCAGGGCATCTGAAGTGTGGATCTTGCACCAAAAACGCCCGGAAAACACCCGGCGTGAAACGAGGCCATATGACAAGCGAGGCCAAAAGCTGTTGGCCTTCTTGGCAAGTTAGAGGCGCACCTTGAGGCTGGCTGATCTCCCAGGCTTACTACACGAGACCGAATGGGCACCTGTCAAGAGCAGGCAATTGAAATTTGGATTTGGACACAGAATAAGATAGAGGCCTTGACATTCAAAACATGTCAATCATGCGTTGACATCTAATTTGGGTTATTATCCAACTGAATTAGGCCCGTGTGATAGCCAAGCAAATGTAAGCTCCATTCGATGAAGCACATGCAAGTCGTGATCATGCTCACAACATACCGGAGGTGTCGCATGTTGTGTGTACCAAGGAAGGGCTCAAGGCAACCTCCGAACGGAGATTTACAAAAGTTGATTTCACAATGTTGGGGATCGCCTCCATCTGAGAGATTGTTCCACCAAATGACTGAAGAGGCAAGAAATCATAGGGAGCTCCTGTCTCTTTGTTGCAGTAGGCCTCAGACACAAGGCCTGCAGGACAAGGACTGCAGTGGGTCCCAAATGCAGCAAGTACGGTACAGAAAAGTAGTGATTCAGGTCATGGTGTTTCTTGTAGCTTCAACATCTGCTATGGATCAGCGGCAGAAAATGGTAGAGCTGCAAGGGAGGTTGCGCTCATTCGTGCTGTGGCTGGAGAGGTAGAAAGTGAGGAGCGGGCGAAAGGTAGATAGACGGGGTAGGGCTTGTGGATGAGCACCTAGAAATTGGTGGGTGTCATACCCCTTCGGGCAGCAACGGCAGTAGCAGGAGCAAACAAGAGCAGCAAACCAAACACCACCAGCAGCAGGCAGCAGGCAGCAGCACACCAATCAAAGCAAAAGCAAACCCGCAGACCAGCAGCAGCAGCAGCAGCAGCAAACCAACACAGGACCAGGGGAGTTTTGACCGGGGCGCTTAAAGTCATACGTCGCAAAAAATCAGCCCAACGTGGCAGGGGTCCTATTCCACTAAATGTTGGTGGCTACAGCACAGTGAACTTAGATAGCCAGAAAGAAACCATACTGCGCCGCACAGTGGCACTAAGTTGTTGTGCAAACAAGCTTCAACTAATGAAATCGTCTCTTGCAACGGCTGCACCAAAGCTTGCCAACGGCTGGTTGCAACTTCCCCCTGCTTGGCCGCCCGCTTGGCCCTGGCAACGCGCACGCTTGCTCCACCATGAAACAAATGATTCAACGGTCAACGTCATTAAAGCTCCTGTACGTCCATGAAAATCCAACTCCTTGTGGGGCACTGTAGCCATCACACATCTTCTCCCACTCTTAGCTTTACATCCCATCAGCTTGCCCTGATCCACACCTTTCCCTAAAATCTTCTGTCTTCGCCCTTCGTGTCTGGCAGCCAGTCTGGCACCCTTCAAACCTTTGAAATAAAGCCTCTCCTCTTTCCGCGGATAGGGCCCTTGACTGAATGTGAAGCAGCCATTCTAGGTGACACATTGTGAAACCAAGTGCACAAGAGACTGCACAAGAGTCATTCCGCATGGATCAATTGAGCAGGCCCGGTCCCCCTCTTCGACACCTTGTCTTGGAGATCGGCAAATCCACATGCACATGCCGCTGTCCACTTGGCAAATACTTCTGTTCAAGCTGACTTGTACCTGTGCAGCGCACGTGTGCTCAGGTCCAGTTTCGCCCCCCTCCTCTCCCCCTCTCCCTCTCTCCCTCTCTCTCTCTCCCTCTCTTATCCTGAGGATTCAGTGACCACCTCCCACCTGGCATCGGCTCCTCCAACCCAAGTCGTTGGAAGCTCGGCAGTTGCAGCGCTGACACCAGGCGACCACCACCCACGGGCAACAAGGCCAAAACATTCCCTGAGTCTAGGCCTCACAATGGATTTTGGGGCGGCTGGACGATGATGAATTCGTTAACAACTTTGGCACAGCTTTGAATGGTTATTTCATGTTTTTTCTTGAATATTGTGATACGGTCGGCAGTTCATTGATGACAAATAGAGCAGAGCCCTGCACCTCTCTGGCTCCGGCTGAGACCTGCAATGCCCAGCTTCTCGACATCTTTTACGAAGGCTGGATCACCCAAAGACTCCAGCGCCACATCCTCACATGTCCGTCCAAAGGCCCTCATCACTGCAACGAGGCAGCTCAGTTGTTCCAGTTGACTGTGAGAGTGAATGGCATTCCTACAAGTGGAAATCAAGGCTTTTGGGCTTGCGGCTTGTGGTGGCATCATGGCCGAACTAATTGTGGTCGTATAGACTGATGGGACTAGCCCAAGCTCCTCCAGAAGAAACATGTGCCGCTGCAGCTGAAGACGAGAGGGCAACTGCGCCTGAAACGGAGCACAAATCCATATCCGGCCAAGAGTATTAGCCTGAACTGAAGCACTATGACTATTGGCTGGCAGCTGAATATTCAGGAAGTCAGGCCTGCTGCGGGCCCTGCAAGCCTTGCACAGGCAGGAGCACTGAGATCTTCCGCGTCAGGAAGGCCTGTGCACAGGTTTGGTTTGGTTCCATGAAGGAGGGACAAAGGCATGAAGGTCCCCATTCTCCAGGACTGTCCTACAAGAATCACAGCACTCCCAGCCAAATGGCCACTGCCTTGGATGCCAGCCGTTCGAAGCGCTCTGCAGCACTGCTTCTCCCGTGTGTCACCATCAAGTGCCCCAGTGGAAAGCTGGCATTCGATGCCGCTGGCATGGCCTGCGGCGTGCAACGGCCAAGTCGAGCAAAATGTCTTTGAACAGGACGGGCATGTCTACCAGAAATAAATCAATACACATCGCAAACGCATCAAAACAGTCTGAGGTTAAAAAGCGCATATGCAGTTCGGTTCAGTCAGGCTCTCTTATGGTCGTGATTGAAGCACTGCAGTGCCAATGGGCACAACTAAGGAGATCCCTATTCGAATGGGTGTTGGTCCATACTATTCATGTGCTATATAAGTCTACTTCTTTCTTGTTCCCGATGGTCTTTGGTGGTCTCTCCATGCTAGCGAGCTGCTAATGCACACTCACACCAGCAGCGGTGGGTGCTGGGCCCAACCTTTGTCCATCTGGTCCTGGACTCAGACCCGAACCGCTAAAACTGCAATAACAATACAAAAGAAACGAGGGCAAGGCGGGCCAGATCCAATGAGTTTTTGTGCTTCTTTTGGTCGTGGTCTTTTTTTGGTCTTTGTTCTTTGATGTTCTTTCCGTTTCTCTTTCCCATCTCTCTGCCTCTCTCGGCACGAGCGAGCTGGACAAGTGTCAACGTGTCAACAGTGGCAGTTTGTATAGAGCGATCGATCCATGGATTTCTGGATTCTTCTGGTAGGTCGAAGGAAGCATTACAACACTACCACTATAACATACTTGAAGCATCACGACCCACACTTATGATTGCAAAGCTTGTCTCAAAAATTACAAGTTTGGATGGGAAAACCTGCAACGCGAAAGCGCCACCCAAGTCCTTGCACAGCTGCCAAGCTATGCCATGTGTCACGGCTTTTCGATGTGTGTTTGAGGCGGCGGCTGCGGACAAGCAACATGTAAGAAAATGATAAATCAGCACAGAGGTGCTTCCACTGTGCAGTCCCCATCACCAAGCACACCCAGCAAGGATGTGCAGTCCTCATCACCACGCGCACCCAGCGAGGATGCTGGCTTTGCAAGCGATCGGATGTCCAACCACTATGATGCTTACCAAGCACAGCTTGGAAAACGGCAAGACGCAGTTGCATCCTGGTGCCTAAGCAAATCGGTTTGAAGGCACCATTGAGACTTCCACACTTGATGGGCATCTGCTCAGCCATCTCGCAAGGGACACTGACGTCAAAGTCTTGGCCAAGCAAACAAGGCGGTATCGCCAAACTGACTCTACTGTAATTCCTCAATTGAACAACTGCAAAGGGGGTCCACTCCACACTCTCTGGGACGCCAAAGGAGGAAAAAAAACAAAAACAACGCAAGCGCACGAAAGGCGTAATGGCCAAGACACATCTTGCAAATCAGCTGGCTAGGATGGATCGTGAAGACCTTTCCCTTGAACTCATCCAATTCACCAAGTACCTCGACACGAGTCGACCGTTTTAGGTGGGAAGGAAAGGCCACAGAAATGTCACTGGTGTTAGGTGTTACCAAACAACTCTCATGGACCTCGACACGGTGGAGTTGCGTGGGAAGCGCCCGACATGGTGAACTCAGCAATGCAAAAAACGATTGTGCATGACCTGGAGATTGCCCTACTGTGGAGCCAAAGCCGCTAGATGACCTTCTCAAATGGCTGGAGCTCGTCAAATGGGTACCCCTCATCACTCTTTTTCCTGAGCACCATAGAATCCTCCAATCCGCGGCTCGCTTTGGAACAGCATGATGAATATGCTACTATGTAATGAAACTATACACTTGCCATACAGTACATCTGCGGAGAGACAGAAATCTGTGTGAAAATGCTTGAACACAAGTTCGCCTCCCGAAAGTCAGCTCTCACCTTCGGCTGAAATTTGGCAGCCTGGTGGAAGTAAAGTGCTTAGCAACGCCCAGTGCTTCAGCTCAAGAGACGCTTCATCCACAAAGCAGATCTCGCGGTTTGTTCGCGTTGGTTGCATGGCTCCGGTCTGGCTGTACCAAAGCAGATCCGACTGTTTGAAGGCACCACTGAGAACTCCACACTTGATTGGCATCTGCTCAGCCATTCTCACAACATCCAAGTTCTGGTAGGCTCTCAAACCAAACTCAGACTGCATGCATGTCCGGTTGAAGGCTTTTAGCTTGGTGTACAAGCCATATGCCAAGCGGACGACATCAAAGGACGTGGGGAGCTCGGATGGATTCTTGGTTGGTGGCCTTCGCACCTCTATGCTCTCCTTGCAGGACTTCCACTGGCTACCTGTGAAGTGAAGAGTGGCGTTGCAAACGGCGAAAGTCGCCAAACTGTAGTTGGCCTGATTTAAATAATCGTAGGATACAAAGTCTATAGAATCAAACACTGACTTGAGAATGTCTAGATATTCCTGCTGAAAATCATATTCTTGACTGTTGCTCAAGAGCGAGATGACAAAAGGATCGGGCGAGTGTTTAGGCTTGTTCGATTGATTCCATTTTGGAGAGATGGTCTCCTTATTCTTTTCATTCCAAATCGATAGCCGAAGGTCAGACCCCTGCCGATGCACAAGTATAATCTTCAAGCACCGCTGGAAATGAACAGCAGATTGGCTCTTGAAATCATTCCACTCTGCTTCCAGTAGTGTGGAGAACTCCTCTGATGACAAAATGACAGGCGAATTCTCAGGCATGCTACCAATACTTTCCAACAGCTCCTGCATTCTGGTCAAATTTGCAAACTTTACGTTATGTTTCCGGCCATGCTGTTGCTTAATTGTGCATGGAATGTAGGCCCCCGCTTTCGGAGTCTCATTGGCAGCCACAAATATGCCATATTCTCTCCGAAGCCACTCGGCGTGCTCGTGCAGGAAGAGTTGGAAGGAGGTAGTACCGGTTTTGTGTGGACCCACGTGGATCACCAATGGGAACAAGCACTTGGTCTCCTGCGGTGTCTGCGGTGCAGCCACCCCTTGCTCAAGTGCCACCCGTTGCTCAAGTGCTGGCCCTTGCGACGCACAAAAAAGGTGGTTTGCCTGGCTCAGCCAAAGAAATGCAGAGATGGCAATCACAACCGCAGCGACACAAATGAATGCAAATGCATGGCGGGTCATGGCCCACGGAGCAGGACATCACTGAACTCGTGCAAAAACTCACTCAGAAGCTGATTGGCATGATGTTGCCAGAGAAGCGCCTGACCGTATAATATATATATATACCCCTGTTTACCATGAAAACCGCTGAAGATTGGGAGACCAAACTCAAAAAATATGAGCTTGTGTGTGTGTGCGTGCTGAGGTGTTGGCAGGGTCTCTTCAAACTATGCTGCAGTCGCCATTGAGATTCTTCACAGCTGCGGACGCCATCTTATGATTTTCAACACAACTCCTAGGTCCAAAGACTGAGAGTGATTGAACATGCCAAAACTGAAACGCCATCACATGGTCACTCTGAGGTCTGCTCGTTCCGCAGCTCCAGCCTCTCATGAGAGCTCCGGCCAAAGACCAGCTGATTTTTTTCGTGACTCGGGATATTGGGTACAAGTCTGCCTCCTGTTAGTTTCTTTGAGCAACTTCAAGAGGGCAATACCTGGGATATATACGGTATATATGTATCCCAAAAAATGTGCAACTCACCACAAGACCAGAAGCTTCCTGACATGTCACCTGGGGATGTGAAATGGCTGAATGTCAAAGGTCGGTGACTTCAATTGACTATGGCTCTCATCAACTTCAATGTTGACTAGCCATTTCAGAATGGTCCGGAAACTGATTTTATACTGTAATCAATTTGGACATCAGCCCTAATTCCACAAGGACATTCTGCCTTTAGCAAGCTACTATGTGACAAAGTAGAAAAAGCATAGAAAAGCCTCCAAGTGCAAGATTGAACAGATCAAGACTGACGCCTAAACTAAACTTTAAACGCTGGGATTCTGGTAGAAAGACTTTAGACATCTTTAGACTGCTCAGGACCGAAGCATTCAAAAGGTCGCAAGCCTTGTGGCCATGTGACGCCATACCAAAAAAACCTGAAAACAATCTTCAACCTAATAGCGATTGCCTCTAACCTAGAAGCATTGTTTTAAAACAAAAATATATATATATATATATATACACGTCAGTCAACAGTCTTCAAGGACATTTGAAATTTCTGCGCCCCGAAGAAACCTCACCATCCTTGCCGCCAGTGAGGTTCAGGGCGACTTGACCTGCGCTTGGCGGAAGAAAACACATGAGAGTGTCAAGACGGCCTGCAATTCTGAACTCAAGTCCAATTGAACAATGAAATGCTGAACTGGTCCTTTTCACTGGCCTCAAACTACAGAATAAAACTTGAGAGAGAGGAGGGGGTGAACGAAAGGTGGCAGGGAATCATGGAGGAGGTCAGGACCCCCCCCCGTGTTGAACAGAAGCCCTTGCTAGAGGACCAAAGTTAAGGCAAAGCACCAAGTACTGAAGCCTAGACACCTTTCGAAGCACCAAGTACTTTTCGACCATTTTTGAAGCCTAGACACTTCAAAAACAATCGGTGTTTATATACGAAAAAAATTTGGCCGGACAGCCACAGAAAACACTGCAAATTGCGTGGTTTGAGGCCACTCTTGCAAACTGGAGGAGCTGAAAACACTGGTATTGACGGTGCTTTGTAGCTGTTGACAAAGACCCCCGCCAGGGTGAAGTTGACGGCGTGCTGTGGCCATTTTGAAGCGTACATAGCTTAAAGCCATCCCAATTTATGGGGTTTTGTGCCACTCCCTAGGGTGCTCGGCTCCAGTCTTTGACAAGCCGGGGAGGGGATCCGCTCGCAGTGTTGCTTTCTGGCAGTATTGATGGTGCGGCTAGGAGTGCCCGTTCGGGTGTGTGGGTTGTTTCGCCGGGTGCCCCACACATCCTGCGCCCCCAGGGCTCAAAGTATACCCGGTTGTGAAGTCGTGTTTACAAGCAGAGCCCAACAGGTCACATCCATGGCTTTCCATTCTTAGTGGTGATGTCAAGCGGTGTGGTCGTCACAGAAACCGTCGAAGACGGATCTTTCGCTCTGGCTTTCAATATTCTCCTTCTGGAGGCCTCAAGCTCGGTACAGTGAATGCCCAGGGTCTTCAATGGAACTTAGTCGCTCATGCTTCCAAGCTTAAGGCTTTGATCGTGACTGCACAGACACATGCTTTTGATGCCGTTTTGGTGGCCGATCTTCACTTTCATGATCTTCAGGTTCACATTGTTTATGTTGAGCAGTTTTGTCTCATTTGTCGGGGTGCCGTTGGTGTGTTATTATGCAATAACCTCGCTCAGCAGTGGGAACATGGGGGTCGCAAACTCTTTGTGCACGATCCGTGTGACCGTGTCCTTGGTGTTGGTCTGACCGTTCATGGTCGCTCACTTGCTTTGGTCGCAAATTATACCCCTGCGGGGGGCTCAGTTGGTCTGAAGAGGGATCATTATGATCAGGCCTGGCAGCTTTCCACTTCGATCTCCTCTCAATCGTATGAGCAGTTTTGGGGCGGAGACTGGAATGGACACATTTCAGGTTTTGAAACGGACCTTCGACATGTTGGAAACTTTGGCTTGTGTACTCCCACTACCTCGGGAGGTCGTGTCTTGAAAGAATTTCTTGTTCGCTCTTCTCTTCGGCACGTTGACTCGCATCGGCGTTTCCCTTGTCGGGGCACATGGAGACACAACCAAACGAAAGCCTGGTATGAACTAGATAGCTTTGCTGTTTCTGAGTCCCTCTTCTCGGCAGTGCAGAGACGCATGTTCACTTTTTCGTTGCAAGGTGTTTCAGATCACATGGGGAAAGGTTTGCGGTTGCGGCTCGGCTCCCGCCAAGCCCGCGCGACTCGTTTGAAACGACGTTCTTACTGGCAGGGTCTTCGACAGAAGCAGTTGAGGTCTCGCAATGGCTTGAGACGGAAGTGTAACCACAGCATTTTGCAAGGCACCGCAGCAGACGCTGCTGCTTTGCGTCAGGACTATGCTTCTTTGGTCACACAGAAACTTGCTGCTAAGGGTCTTTCCTGTTCTGCCCCAGTTGATTTTGATGTATCTTGCGAGGGTTGGGAAGAATCGCGTTCCGACGTGATGCATGTGTACACTGACGGAAGTGCCGATGGCTCAGCCTCTACAGCGGGCTGGGGGGTCGTGCTTTGGCATCACAACACCACGCGCGAAGCTTGTGGCCCTGTTGTTGTCGATGAAAACCTGCCTCTTTTTCTTGGGGCGGAAAGAACTTCCAACAACACGGGGGAGCTTTCTGCCGTGATGCATAGCTTCCTCATGCTTCTTTCTCTTCCCGATGACTCTTGTCCCAAACATGTTGTGTTTCACTATGATTCAGAATACGCCGCTAACGTTGCCCAGGCTCAGTGGTCCCTTCGCAGAAATGTTGCCTTGGCACGGTATGCCGAGAAATTTTTGTGTCAAGTGCAAGCACGTTGTGTTGTGCACTGGAAGTGGATCAAAGGCCACACTGGAAACATAGGTAATGAACGTGCCGACGCTCTTGCAGCTCGGGGCCGAGGCGGTGAGTCAGTCCCATTTCCTTGTGAGTGTGCTGCTCTGGATGTTCCCGACACGGTCGGGCCACGACGGAGATGCGCAGGCAAAACCTCCATCCGTGCCACGGCGCCGGCTGTGGCGCAGGTGCCGGCTCCTGACGTTTCTTGGGACGAGCTGGCCGATGTTTTGACAGGTGCCATTGATTCTTTGTCCGGAGCAGTTGTCGACAAGCGATTTGGCATTGGCAGCAACGTTCAAATTGTGCTCACGAATTTGTGTCAACGAAAAGGGTGCAGAACCGGTAAATCCATCCCTTCGAAAGAAAGACCCAGACGGCGGAGCTGGGCATAAAATCTGGACCAATCATGCTTATTCAAGGCGTCATTCAAGGAAGAAACAACATGCTGAACATAGCGACTACGTGCCTTTCTAAGAAAGTCTTTACGCCTTCTTTTAGACAAACGCCAGCTCTGCAATGCTGCCGGCTCCTCTGAAGAACCCTGAACCTTGCGAACGGCTTCCCAAGAATCTGCGACGTGCTGGTCAAGAATTAAAAGTCGATGTCGGTCAGAAGGAGCAAGAGGAGCACCCCGACGGTTGATTTTGCTGTGATTGATCGGGCCGCTCCTCAGCTGCCGACATGTCACGAGCTTGGAGACCTTCCTACCTGGCCAGAGTTTTTAACGGCCTTGAATGGTGTGAAGGAGAGCTCTCCCGGAAAAAACGGAGTTTCCGCTAACATGCTCAAATTTGGTGGCCCTCTCGTTCACCAGCAGGTTTATCGTATTGTTTGTGCTATGTGGTCCACACCCGCCACGGAATGGGCCCTTCGTTTGAAAACAGGCTTGGGCATTCCTCTTTTCAAATCTGGTAACCGTGATGACTTAGACAACTACAGAACCATTGTTTTGCTCCCTATGATTTCTCGAGTACTAGGTAAACTTCTGTCCAGACGCATTTCTGAGTATGCCGAAAAACACGGCCTCTATTCACAAACGCAGTATGGCAATAGGAAATATCGCAGTGTGCAAGACGCGCTCTTCACGGTGCGCACCACTCTTGAATTGGCAGCCGAAGTGGCGCATCACCCAGAGCTCAGTTATGACACTGCCGCCCAGCTTGTCGTTCTGCTTTTCGATATCAAAAAAGCGTTTCCTAGTGTAAATCGTGAAGCAGCCTTTCACTTGTTTCGACGACATGGTTTTCCTTCTTCGTTGATTCAGTTATTGGAGTCCTTGCACGCCGGTACTCAGTACCAGGTTTCTACGCCGGAATCCGGAAGGCTTGTCCGATCCTTACATGCTTGCCTCTGGTTTTAGAGAAGGTTGTAGTACTAGTCCGTGCTTATACACCTTGTTTCATGATTGTGCTATGCGAGAGTTTGCAAAGCAAGCTCGCCGTTTGTCCCGAGCTCATCCTGAGTTTTTTGTGGATTTGCACTCTTGGGGTGGACGCCCCCTAAATCGCCGCATGAACAAGCATCAGGTTCCGTCTTTGCCTAAAGTGCTGCAGTCTGGACATGACTTGACACCTGTTTCGCTGCTCGATGTCACTTTTGCTGATGACACCTCTCTTCTTTGTCGGGAGGCTGGCAGATCACAGCTTGAAGACTTGCTTACCAACACTTTACATGAGTTTGGGGAAACCATCAAAGCCGGCAAAACAAAACGCCTCAAAGTTGCACGGGGGGATGCCTTATGGCAGCCAAAGCAGCTTTGGTGTAGACTCAGTCGACAGCTTCCGAGGTTCGGTCTGCCCCCCAAAATTTTAGGTCAACTCATCTATGCCAGAGTGCTCAGAGCGCTCTTGTTTGGTACCGAGTCTAGATGTGTCTGTGGCACCACTATGCGTAAGTGGCAGTGTTTTCTTAATGGAATTGCGCGTTTTGCATGCAGGCAAAAGCTTCGAACCATGCAGGAGGACCATGTGACGCAACAAGATCTAAGTAACCAATTAGGACTCAAGAAAATCGCCACATATGTAGGTTCCGGACAATTGGCATATCTTGGACACCTTGCTCGCCTCCCTGAGGGTCGCATCGAAAAGCAGATGTTGTTTTCTTGGCTTCCCCGCGAGGCCATGTTTGCGTCCTTTAAGGGGGCTATCTCTTCCCGTCAGACTTTCTGGAAGCGCCTTCAGGAGTTGTTGGCTCTCTCGGATCTTCCTGAGGCCCAGTGGCAAGAAGGCTGGGTCGCTCTGGCAGCAAAACAAGGAGGTGTTGTTTGGAACGCCTTGATTCGCAAGTGGGTTCGCTGGCAGGAATCCTTAGCTCAGCAAGATACCTGGAATGCTCGCCACACAGACGCTGCGCGCCAAGGGCGTCAGCAAGCTGCTTACGACAGAGCCTTTCAAGAGTTAGGTGTACATAGGCTTCCTTGTGGTAGGTACAAGTGTGGTTACGAGGGTTGTTCCATCGTACAAACCTTGCAGGGCTGCGACAGCACACTGCTGTTTGTAAGAACTTGAGTGTAGCACAGAGACAAACACGTTCGGATGCTGCTGCGGCTTCTGGACAAGCCGCACCCTCCCGACCTGCAGCTGCACCTTTGGATCTTGCACCCACGGGTCCTCGAACTCGTTTGCTGAGCAAGCAGGCACGTCCAGTTGCCTTTGAAAAAACCGCTTGCCAGGCCACTGTGCATGATGTGACCGCATGTACTTCCTTTGACATCAGCCACTTTGGATCATTATGCCTCACAGCACATGACACGCAGATATCGTGGTGCTCAGTTGCAGCGAGCCATTACGCTGACTGACTTGCCACCCCCACACGCCGATGAATCGCTGCACTCGAATCAATGCCGATTTTGCTGGAAACATCTCAAGTCAGGCCCAAAACGGGTCAAGCACAGCCGCTGTTGCCCAGCCATGCCATATGACGGCTGGCTCTTTCGGGTTCGGGTCACCTTGCTGCCCCAAACGCCTCGCACTTTTCCATGCACACATTGCGGTACGCAGTTCAGTGTCCCTAAAGCTGCGGGCAGGCATTCGGTCGAATGCGGAAAAAGGCGGCAGCGCCAACACTTGCCTTGCCCCTAAATCTCAAGCAGTGGCACGACCTGCCACAGGAGCCTACTTGTTAGCCCTGCTTTGTGCATTCTCGGTTTGCAGCATTAGATGTCACTCCCCCTTTGTTAGTTGATTGTTTTCTTTGACATGCAAGTGAAGATTCATTCTGTTTTTGGGCCATGTCGGCGCAAGCTGTTTGTGGCCTGCCCTTTTATTTTCCCTTCTGAGTTACACAGAGCACCATGGCTAGTGCCTTGGATATCCTCAAGAAAGCCCAAAGCCCAGCTCGAGGCTCAGCAAGCGTCCCAGATCCGCTGCTCCTGCCTCTTCAGCTGCCTCTAGCCACGAGATGACTGCTGTCATCGAGCGCGTCGTGCAATTGAGCCTTTCCAACGCCGAAAAAACAGAGGCCGTCGCAAGCGCCACGAATTTGGTTCTGCTTGTGAAACGGGAATCCGATGTCCAACAGCTTCAGGCCCAGGCCACTCTCTGGGTGAACACCAAGCCAGACTGGCGGCCGGGTGCTACGGACAACCGTCCCCATGAACTAGGGGAAAAGCGGGTCTTTATGCTGTTGGTGCTTCTCCAAATGATGCAGGATGACAACACTTTGGAGGGCGAACCGGTCAAAACAGCTATTCAGCATCTCCTCTCTTTGCCTCCCAGCGACCTTTCGCGCTGGATTGGATCCTTCAAACCTCGCTATGCGGAACCCAAGAGTGGACGTGCTTGGGTCTGGGAGCTCTCTTGTTCGAGTTTGCTGCCGGAAGAAACCCGCTCGGCCCTTGACACACTATGCAAGACCATTGACAGCTCTCGTTGGAAGGTTGCCCCTCACCGCTGGGGCCAAACCGGCCTTCAGAAAGCTGTGTGGGAGGACCTGCGGAAACTGTCCAGCTCACGCCAAGGGGCGTGAAAGGTCAGCTGGCGGTGCTTCTACTTGTTTTGCATGACGAATTGGGCGCAGAGATCGCAAGCCTTTGGATCGGATCGATTTGATGTTTCTTGCACGGCCTTCTTCTTCGGCTTGAAGAGATGACTATTTCTGTGCATTTTTCTCCCGTCGCAAAGCCGGGATTGTTGCGAGCTCTCGGATCGACGGCAGCTACAGTTCTGGCTGATTTTTTGCTTGCTACACCTTTTTCTCTACGGCTACGGTGCTGGACGTCTGGCTTATACCTTGATGTCCCTCCTGGCAGCTGCGTGAGCTCTTCCTTGGCTTGAGGAGTGCTCACCTCGGTGGCTCTTTGTGTTTGGCAGGAGCTCCTTTGTGTTTATTGATGTTTTGCAGCAGCTCTTCTGTGGCGAAGCAACCTGCTGTCGAAACGGTCGGCAGCAGGAACGTGATCCCACGGACACCGATGGGATCTTCGCTCCTGGCACGGGCTATTTTTTTTGTGGATTCTCTTTCACGACTTCAGGTGTTGGCCCTCATGGGCCTGCGCAACCACCTTCTATGGGTTTTGTGCCAGGAAGCCTCACGAGCCCGTGTATATAAGTACCGTCGTTTTGTGCCACTTTGAAGCCTCCAAGCGCCGAAAAATTCATTTCCGCAACCAAAAAACCTGCAAATAGCGTGGTTTGAGGCCACTCTTGAAGACAGGAGGAGCTGAAAACACTAGTATTTACGGTGTTTTGTGGCCACTTTGAAGCGTACATAGCCCAAAGCCATCACAATTTATATACAGGATTTTGTGCCGGGAAGGCGCACAAGCCCATGTAAATACCGTCGTTTCGTGCCACTTAGAAGCCTCCAAACGCCGAAAAAAACCTTTCCGACAAAATATTTCCATGCTTTTTGCAATGTTTCGACCATTTTTGAAGGCTAGACACTTCAAAAACAATCGGTTTTAACGAGGTTTTTGGCCGGACAGCCACAGAAAACCCTGTAAATTGCGTGGTTTGAGGCCACTCTTGCAGACTGGAGGAGCTGAAAACACTGGTATTTACGGTGTTTTGTAGCCGTTCACAAAGAGCTGCGCCAGGGTGGAGTTGAAAGGGGGGAGGGGGGCCCCCCCGGCCTCTAAAATGAAATGTCGGAGGGCGATTCTCAGTGAGATGGGTGTCCACTCTGGTTATGATTTATTGTTGCTAAAGCAAAAGGAAAACTCAGGTAGCGTAACCGCTACCTTTCGTGATTACACCGGCATAGACCCCAGATAGCAACTGACTCTCAAAACGGAGGCACATCTTTTCCTCTTGACTCTTAAACTCTTAACCTAGCAGCAAACCCATGAAAGTTGGCAGGAGGAGCATCATCGAATTCACGACAAGTGCGAAGACAAAGAAGCAGCGGCAGACAAAGTGCAAATCACAGAAGCAAACAAGTGGGGAGACAAGTGAGGAAATATGTCGGGAGACAGGTGGGAAGACAAGGAAGGAGACAAGCGGGGAGACAAGGAAGCAGTGGCAGCGGTGGACCAAAACGCAAATCAGCCACCCAGTCATTCAAAAGTTAGAACCCCTATAACTTCCAGCTATCTCGTCCGGAGGCAGCAGCGGCACACAAACGCCGTTCACGCAGGCAGATAAGTGGCGAGACATGTAAGGAGACAAGTGGAGAGACAAGGCAGAAATGGCAGCGGTAAACCAAAACGCCGGTCAAGCACTAAATCATTGACAAGTAAAAACAACCCCTATAGCTTTTAGCTATCTGGCTGGCGACAACCTCCTCGAACCGGCGTTCAACAAACACTGGACATTCCACAAAAGCGGAACCAAAACGACTTTGCTGGCATGGATTATGCCCTGACCCCCGAAGTTGTAGAAGGCGGGTCCTGAACCAATCTGTGTCTCCCAAGGCAACCGATGAGCGGAGAAAAATGACACCTGGTCACCAACCCCGGCACCTGCCAAAACGTAGACGACGTAGAACACTCACGACAAATCACCAATGTTGGGCACATGATGGCACATGTGTGTTTTTAGTCGAAGACCGGGAAACTTCACCGTCGGATTCGTGAACACAACCAGAGTGCCTACATACGGTTTACAAGACCAAACCTGCCTGGACACCCATCGCTGTCAGCTTCCGGATCATAAGGGGTGAACATTGGAGGAATTTCGATTGTTCAGTGGCACGCCTAGGTTGAACCGCTACGCAAAGCTTTAAGGCAAAATGTATGGCAAACATGGACAAACCATTTCCATCTCCTGCAATGGACTTGTCAGCGGCCCTGGGATCAGACCAAGAAAGTAAGCATGTTACACACCTTGATGGCCCATAGCCATTGTCACAACCATCTCCATCCATCCATCCATGTTTGCACTTCTTTCATTTTGCTTCAAGAACCGCTTGCATGTCGAGCCACGCTTCAATTTCCTGTCTCAGCATCTAAGCGGTGGTCTGCTCTGACGTGCAGTTAACTTCTTGTGATGCACTGCCCGAAACTCTAGCTGTCCAAAGGCAAGTCCTCATTCTTCTGCAAATCCCGTGCGTGAGTAAAATACTTCTTCTCTATGACTCCACTGATGCCAGGGCTTAGAATCACTCTGTTGGTGCTTAGGAAAAAGGGCACTCCGTCTTCGATGGCTCTCTTCAAGTCGATCCAAATGGCAATCTCACAGTCATAGCGCATGCCAGAGATCACTCGTTTGTCCCCTGGGTTGAAGGACGAGAAGTGCACGTGGTTGCGGAAGCTTTGGCCTTTGCGGCCACCAGCCAATAGCCCTTTGGCCTTGATGCTCTCAAAGTACTTCCGATAAGTCCCATGGACGCAGCAGTCAGGCAAGTTCTTCAAATCCACATTCTGGAGGAGTTGGTCGTCATCTACGACCTTCATTGAATGTCCTTGCACTGCTCTAATCATGTGACCATCTTCCTTATCCTCCTTGAGCTCGAAGCGTTTCTTATCATTTCCTGCTACGATTCTTTCAACGTCAGCCTGAGTTGTGTTCAAGCTTGATAGCAAAGGGCACGCCAAGACCTCCTGCAATAAGCAATATCCATCAGGTCGGACCTCAATATCAAAGTCTAAGGCTGAGTGGCGCAAAAGCAGCGACAGAGTCTTGGACATCTTCCGCTCTCGACCCGAACCGCTCTCGGTCCGATTCTCAGCCCTCGTGGGCCTCCGGTTCTCCGCCTGCGAAGTCCCGAGAGTGAGCCGAATCGGTCGCAGCTGCACCACACAGAGACCAAGTCTCTCCAAATCAGCAAGCTCCATGGCCAGAAAAAGGCGGTGTCACGAATGCGAAGTGCATACAAGTGAAATAAGACCCTGACTTGGTGGCACGTCCAGATTGTAGGGTAGAAGATGGTAGAAGGGCAAACCTGGAACCCTGGTTCTAAACAAAAACGTGAAATATTGTACTTGTGTAACATGTCTTTGCATTGCATGACGTAGTTGTTCCAGCTGCCAAGTCTTGGCCCTCTGCATGTCCCAGGGATGTCGCTGGTGGCTGGCATCGGTGGCGCGGCCGATGCGGTGCACTGAAACAAGCACTCAAACAAAAAAAACGGATCAGGTTGCACCCGCAGTGCGCTGTCGCCGCCGTTTGCGCCTTGGAGCAACACACACTGCCGCCCCTCTGGCAGCTCTCTCCGGCTTTCCGAGGGAAAACGATAAGAGCCGTTTGCACGTCCATTTGCTTGTGGCCGTCGCCAAAGGGCCACCCAAAACTGACAGGTGGCCCTGACAATGTGGCCTCCACCTGGTGGAACAGTATCTTCCAAAACCTCGTTCTTTATGTGACATTTGTGCCGACACTCTTGAAGTCCAACTGTGGCAAGGACTTAGCATTCAATGCTGGCAGCTGCAGTCGTCAAGGTCCACGAGAGATGATAGAAATCTGCTGCATACATATTTCCTGGAGGTTGATCCAAGTGCAGTGCACCCAAAACAATTGAAGAAGGGACCCAATTAACATCGGAATAACATATGTATCTGTATATCCAAGTTGTTTCTACACTGTTATATAACTATATACTGTTCTCGGCCGTGGCCTATGCCTTGTGTATCCTTGTGTCAGGGGACAATAAGATCAGCAGTCTGATGCCTTCACAACAACAAATCCTACACACCAAAACACGAGAGCCACAGCATCTGCTCCGGAAAGTTCTTCCTTCAAAACAAGCATGTTCCTTGAACAGTACAGGCCACGGGAGTTGTCCTGAATAGAGGGGGGCATCGGTTGGAAAAACATCTCTTTCAACGTCCTCAGACTTGATAAGAATGCTCCTAGTAGCGATGCCAGGAGCCCCTAGTAGCGTCCTTGCTCCTAGTAGCGAGGCCCCTCTGCTGAGATCTTTTTCCATGAATCATCCATTGTTTCACCACTAGGGTGCACATGCCACGCCTGTCCTTCACTTGCCAAATGTAGGGCCCTGCCATCCTGGCACCCTGGGACGCTCTGTCATTCTTTTTGCGATTGTCCCTGCCTTCAGCACCATTCTAGCAGCTTGTGAAGGAAACTGTCCAGTTTCAGAAAAGTTGCGGCTACGCATGTCACAACACATTTCAGAAACTCGCATGCCTCTATCCCCGGCCTCCAGATCTGGTTCCGGTGGGTGTTGTTTGCTCATAAGCTTTGATATGTGCTGCTAGCAAACATGGAATATTCGTTGCGAAGGGTGTAGAGTATGGATTGTCTGTGACCGTGTCGAGTCAATTGAGACAAGTTACGCGACCTCAAACATCTGCAAACTGATGTAAAACAATGGCCCGTTGAATGCGTTTGAGCTCCTCTCTTCCAAGGGAAAGACAGCTGAATTGAGATTCCCTGAAAAATCAAACAGATCACACGCGTCTGAAGCATCTACTGTAAATGTGCCATGTGCAGCAGAACCGTTCTAAGATGTTCAGCAGAGTTGACTCGGATGGGCAAATCCTCGGCCATCCGAGGCATCAGAGTCCCGAACTGTCCCGTCCTCACTGTCCCGAACTGTCAATGTTTGTCCTTCGGAGTGAAGCGGTGTCTCTCCACCAGTATGCGAAGCATTGATGGTCACTCCCATGGTATTTCTACCAGACTCGACTGGAGAGCACACATACGTCATGTTTGGTGCGAGCTGGTAGGATGATGGATGGTGTAGGATGTGGTCAAAAGTTGCCGAATTCATCATCTCACATCCTTGGATTTGATTGACGATCAAATATTTTACATCATCTTACTCCCTCACTTCAGCATGCTGTGGCCGGGTGGTTGCTCAGCTGCACTGCTAGGCCAGGTGAAGGCCCTGGGCCAGTGTTCGCTGCGCTGGGGCCGCTCTGGTGCCAAGGCCCTTGATCAGGCTCTGCTCAATGGAGACATGCTTCCTTGTTACTAGTAGTAAGGCCAGGAGCTACTAGTAGCGTCCTTGCTCCTAGTAGTAGCGTCCTCGCTCCTAGTAGCGATGCCCTTTGCTTCTCTGCATGAGAAGCACGCATTGTCCATTGAAGTGGTTCGCAACAAAGGCACCGACACCAATGCACGATATTGCACGATCGCATATTAGTTCGTGACTGCCACGGGGTAGGAAGCTGCCCTAGCTACCCTATGCTACCCTAGCTACTCTATGCATGCGTCCATTGAGCAGCGGACTGGTCCCTCAAGCTGCGCTCTGAAGGATGCCTTTGACCACTTCAGTTGGCACGGCAAGGCGGCTTGGGACGAGTAGCTTCGAAGCAAGCTGTGGATGTTTGAACTCGCCCAACCCATTTGCACGGCATGGATGATAAAGAATGACAAAGGAAACCCTGGGTTTTGATGGGTCCCATTCTATATTTGTGGGTGGGAGTGCCGTTTTGATCGTTTTGTTGAGGAAGCATCCCGTTTGCTTGCCCCTCACCCAGTTTAATCCAGCGGTGTTTCTGACCCGGGTAGACGCAAGGGCTTTGCCACTTGCTCATGTCTGCGTTTGTTGCTTCACAAGCGAGCAGCGCCAACAAAAACCTTACCAAGCTACTGTCTGCACTGAGACTGATTGAACTGATTGAAACCAAGGTTGAATCCATGTGGCACAAGTCGAACAAATCGAACATATCTCCATCACCCTAGCTTGTCCGAGTTGGTCACGTACTTACCAGGTTCATTGCAAACCCCAGCGTTCGAAGATTTGATTGAGTTCACCATGATTGAGTTCACGATGATGATGATGATGATGATGATGATGATGATGATGATGATGATGATGATGATGATGATG